GTCTTTTGCACTTTTTTGTAGCTGTTTATAAGCCACAGATTCACACAGAATTAAGCTTTCTGTTTATTTGGCACTTCTGCAAAGTTTTCCAGGTATCCACAATTCCCTGAGTGTGTTATTCAATTTGTAGGGTCCTAGTCCCACAACTAATTCTATCTGAATTGGCCACAAAATATGCAAACCCTGATATGTATCTGCTGAGAACTATATTCAGTGACATTCTCTGCTACATCAAACAGATCCTCAGCTCCCTCTCTTACCTGGACCTCAAATTCCTTCCTAAGCTATGATAGTATAGGTTTTCTTACACTTATCATCTTTACACTGTCTCACTAGTTTGCTGGGATTCCCAGTCCTCACACTTACTCCTCAGATCTTCTCTTTTTTTCTTCTCTTGTAATTGTCCGTACTTGTACATTCCATTGAGAGATTATAAACCTTTACTGAAGTCTCTTCTTCTGTTCCCAAATTAGGGAAAATATCTTAAGTTGTTCCCCATGGGGAGTCCAAGTCTAACCTCAGTGTAGAGAAGGTGGAGAAAAGGAGTCTGCAGCAGTTTGGCTGGTTTGTTTTCCAAACCCATCAATACACAAAATGCTTCCTATTACATGGACTTCTTGGGATTGTTCCACATTTACAGGACCAATGGATTGAGCTGTGCCAGACAGTCAGAGCAAACTGATGCTCCTGTTCACCAACAGAACTGAAAAGCTTTGATGCAAGAGGAGAGAACCACACTGACCAAAACACTACTTTCCCCTGGAGAGAACAGCAGCACCTCCTCATTGCCCTTCCCCACTGCATACACCTGCTGTGCACAACCACAGAGCTTCAAACACAGATCCCTTCCTGGCTTCTGGTTCATTTTCCACAATGTCTAACTTGGGATAAATTTGCTTGCCAGCCAGGAGAGAACAGATCAATTAGTGAAAAATGTGGATTTTCAGACTTCAAAGATGCTCCTGGGTTCAAAGAATTATTTTTCTCTACATTTCTAAATTGAGCAGAATCTTCTTTTCATTGGAAAATTTGAAATGGAGCAGTTCTTCTGCCAGCTTTACTATTTTAAGGCTTCATGAGCCAAAGTACTTAAGCAATCCCTAATTTTAAATCACAGTTACGAAAAATATTTACTGAAGTAAATATTCAGTAAATATTCAGAGTTAATCTTCTGAAATTCACAGGCTTGGAGGTAAAATAAACTTTTTACAGTTATGTGCTATTTTCTCAGTTCTATTTGGATCCTTTTGGTAGCTGGCCCAGGTAGCAACAGGACAACAGAAGCTGATAAATCAAAAATTGTAATCATTGCTCAAATAAGGAAAGCTTTAGCAGTAGTGTGAATTTGAGCCAGAAGAATGGATTTTTTCTGGTTTTTTTTTTTCTTTTCACTACAGCAGAAGTGTATATTCTTAACAGTAAAACACCAACCATGTTTCAAAAAGTCACCATGCCGCGTTGCAATTATGTAAAAATAGGTGTCTGTCAAACATGCTTAGGCCCAAAATTGCGTAGAGATTAAAAATAAAAGCCATCACTCCAGTGGTGGGAATTTCAGACATCCCTGGGGGTAAAATCTTTACAGGGCCATATAGAACAAATCTATAAACTCAGCTCCCATTATAATCTCTCCAGCATCAGTCAACAAACCTAAACTATGCCCTCCAGGCAGGGTAAAGAAATTGCAACTCCTGTGCAGAAGTAAATTGTGTGTTTCAGGTAATATTTGTTTTATATAAAAGAAGGGAGAGTAGAGCAAGAGTTCTAATAAATTTCATGAAACTAAGAAACAGTTTTTGTATTTTCCCTGAATTATATTCTGGAAATCAACCTTGAGGGCCTCCTTTTTTCTAAAAGAGCCAGCTGAGGTTGAGTTTTATCCCAGAAAAGGACCTCATTTCTCAAAAGAGACTGACAAATAATTGTTCCAATGGAGGAGAATCACAAATCCTCACCCCCGTTTGTCCTTCTCCCTCCATCAGAGCAATCCAGCCTCTGGAACTTGTTGAAAACTGGTCAGCCAGTCTCAGAGCTGTGGTGTAACCTGAGCCCAGGGGAAGTCTGGCCTTTCACAGCACAAAACACCAAAAATATTTTGGTCATTGTGCAACAGTGTTTTAGGAAAACTGAAGAAGAGGAAGAAACCTCCTTCCTGCAAGGTGCCAGCCTCTGGCAGGGGGACTAAGTAGGCAACAGGAGACAACAAACCCTTGAGCTGCCAAGGTGGAGTGTTGTAAATCTGAGACTGACCATGCTACAAAAGGGAAGCTGAAGTTTCTTGATTTTCCCAGACTTATTGATACACAAACTCTTTGTTTGGGAACAGACAGCAGCATCGCTTTTTATTTTACAACGTTTGGAAAAGGGTGCTGCTCCCAGGAGGTGCAGGTCAATCCTGATTTCCCCTTTTAAAAACCAGAAGTCATTGTCTTGGTGTTAATCCCCAGCACTGGTGTTCTTGGTCCTCAAGTGTGACCTCCAGTGAGGTGACAGAGCCCCAGAAAATCCAACTCTGTGCTGAATGCTCCCCTGTACAGACCCATATCTAATGCATCGACCTCTGGAGAACCAACATGTCTCCATATTCTTCTGTATCTCTTTTTGGAGTCTAGATCTGAATGTGGCCCTTTGTATCTTAACTATCATTTTGCTGATGAAATAAGAATGTTTTTATTTTGTGTCTTGTTTATTTAAATGTCAAACCTTTAAATCAGAAGCCTCCTTCACTGTGTGCATAAATCTGGTAGAGCATCAAGGGGGATGGGAGCACAGGAGATCTAAGGCACTAAAAATGGCACTAAAACTACACATCCTGTGTACAAATGCATTTCTAATTGCTGTTGTTAGAATACAGTCTTTTGTGAGCCTTCTCTCTATTGCTCTACACCAGCTATAATATAAAAGTTTCTTGACTGTTTAAATGACGTGGCTAGGAAGAAGATTTCTCGCACTGAAAATGGAGACAATTTAGAATATGGAGCAGAATGGGATAAGATGAATATTCAGAAACTCATAGAGTCAACTTTTTGCATGCAGATTAAATCATTAAAAAAATGCCACTGCCTGCAGTACCTACTCCTGGTCATAACTGCAGTATTTATAATGGGATATTAAGCTTTAGTTATGTTACTGTCTCAGGCTACATAAACCACCAGGAAAAGAGAGAATAAATAAGGTTCTTGCAGATTACTTAATTGTAGCAAACAGGAAGCTGCAGTAATCACAATTTTGCTTTGCAAGGAAATTCCATGGTTGAGAGGTGGTAGAATGGATTCGTGAAGGAAACAGGACTAGGACTAGCATTAATTAGTCTGGCCCCAGCAGGCCATTAATCAGGATGGGGTAAAGCCTCAGTAAACTCACAGACCTCTACTCAAACAGGTAGGTCACACAATGGGAAATGCTCTAGCTCCACTGATGTAAACTGCTGGTCACCCCCTGGGGATTTGGATCCTTTCAAAACTGGGAAGGATGGACACAGGTCATGTTCTTCTTCTCAAGGACTAAAAGCTGCCAGAATTTGTGCTGCTTACAGCTAGCTGCTTCCCAAGAGAGAGAGAAATGCACATGATCTCAAGCAGCTGAGATGGATATGTGACCTTGTAGAGCTGATCCAGAGGCTGACTTATCCCAGATCAGGGGTCACTCTTGTGGCAGTAACCTTCACCTTGAGTGTACATTTCAACAGATAAGGAACTGTAAAGTAGCACGTCCATTCCAAGTGTCTTGTAGGAATGCTTCCTGGCCTGTAGTGACCCATTGGAGAGAGGAACTGGGACTGTCACCTGCAAGCTGACACTCAATGCTCCATCCTTGTAGGCACAGCCAAGGAAGAGCAGTGGTTTGTAGTCCCCCATGTGAGCAGGGTGGGATCTGTGGGCTGCCTGAGGTAAGAATCTAGTAATTTGGCCAGCAGCCACGATGCCAGTTAGCAAAAACTCGCTTGCTGCATTAAAGGAATTGCAAGCAATCAGTGGTTTGCTTTCCATTGCCATGAGTCGTCTTATCATGGCTATTATGGCTTTCAGAAACTGTATACTGTCTCACCCATGTTTCTCACTGCAGAAATTGGGAATGTCATTACCCAATGTACAAATGTAGGCTGTGTATAACTTCAGCTAATGCTCTTCATGCAAACTGCAGCAAAAGCTTGGTCAAAGTGATCATGAGACTACTCTCAGCTCCTCCACATGTGCCTGCTGCAGGAACATTGGAAAGGTCTTTTCTTCTCCCATTCCTACACTGTCCTTTCAAACCCTTCAACTGTCTTCTGTCTTTGGGCTGTGAAAGAATTTAATCTTTCACACCTTGCATTCCCTAAGGAGCCTGTAAGGTTAGAGTTCCCTATATTCCATTTGAGTGGGATGTGCTGCCTCTCAGCACCCTGACCTTCCAACTGTTGCTTATAGCAAAATAACAAAAGTCAAACCAGGTCTACCTAGAGCATAAGACAGGTATTGTTGTCATGGCAAATGCTTCTGTTTTACAAGGAGATTCAAAAGTTTTTACTCGTGAGCCTGGCTGGACATCTCCTGCCTGGAATCCTTGGCCTCTCTCAGAACTCTTCTTTGCTTGAACAAAGAGTAAGGTATTTCCATCCAATTATTTTCCTGCATTAGTAACAGGATTACTAGAAATCCATTTTTTCTTTATAATATCCTTCCACTTTCAAAGCTGAGGAGTCTTTCTGAAAATTAATGTATTTGGCTACAGTTCTGCACAGGCATATGAGCCCAAGATAAGCTAAAACTGTTTTTTAAAATTGATTTTTTTTTCCTCAGGCAATATTTTTATGTTCCCCTTCTAATCTTTAATTGGAAGTCAGAGTTAGCATATTGATAACTTGGCTCACTCTCCATTTAATTCTGTTTTGAGTGCTGATAAACTAATTACAGCATTTTACATAAGGAAGCACAGGCTGAGGATTTTGAAGCAATTTGATGCCAAAACACATTGCCCATTAAGATATATCATGCTGACTCTCACAAGGACATACTTACTGTGGTCCAACCAACCTGCTGACCCAGGTCTGTAAAATACAGTGTGACAATGGAGGAGACAGCAAGGCTTTGGATGCTGGTGGAATCCTTCAAAAAGGGCCCATCTGCAATGACAGAAATGGAAGAGGAGATGCTGTGAACAGCTACCCTCTCAGGGACTCAGCATAATGCTGAGGCTGCCCTGCTAGTGGTCCAGCTTGGCTTCTGATTTACTTTGGTGACTTGGCATTTATTCTCCAGGTCAGCAACTTAGAGCTCTTCCATGAGGGTTATTCCCTTCCCATCTTAACAAAAGCATGGGGCTGCCAGGACACAGGGCAGCAATGTGGGATGGTTGTATGCTTCTGTCTCTGTTAATCTGGCCCATTAGAGACAGGCCAGGCAATCACACAGACAACTCCACAGAGCACTTCTTGTTCTGTCTTGCAAGACTAAGGGCAAAGTGTATGTTACACAGTGTCTCCCTCACTGACATATTTTGCTGAAGCATTTGCATTCTCAGGCTGTTTTACAACAGGTAACACCTGATGATGAATGCAACTTCTTGGGCAAAGGCTCACAGTCCAAGATTTCTTTGCTAGCTGTCTGACCTAAGCAGACCAGGTGTATCTGAGCATTACATTACTGTTTGTAGTATTCTGAGGCATCTGCTTCCAATCCTACTGGATCTAGAGTGTGCAGGCAGACACATGAAATAACAATATGTGGTTTTCTTTTTTTCTTTTTTTTTTAATTTTATATAGGCAGTGAGCTGGATATTGGAAAAATCCAACAGCCACTGGCACAGGATGTTGCCATGGCTTCAACACCTCTTCACTCTTTTCTCTATGTATAGTCTCCCTTTCAATATACATTTGTTGACTGTTTACATCAGTGAGGGTGCTAAATTCCATCAGGTGCTGAGCCCTCATTTTCTATGGCTTTGCAATTCTACACATCCACAAACCAAACACCAAACAGCCTCTGGCAGCTTTATCTTCCACTGCCATGTCCACCAAGAACTTGTGGACTGACACAGAGGCTGCCTCTGGCAGCCACTGCATCCTCTAGTGAGGCAGTGAGCAAGTGTTAAAACAATTAATGCAGTGAGGGAAGGAAGGCAGTGAATGGGCTTAAAACTGCCTTGTGTTCGTTATGTGATCATACACTCTATTCTGGAACATTTCAGTGGTTATGAAAACCATTAGGATCCTTTATTAATGAGAAAACTAATAAGTTGATAATTGATGTTAGTTAATGAGAATGCATTAAGAGTTCACTCAATAACACATATAGAGAGAGCAACAGTGTGAGGAGGAGAATCTGCCAGAGGATTAGAAATACATTAGGTGGCTGTACTCAGCCATATGAATACTCACTGCGTTCTAGTTGCAGGCCAACACGGGATGGGTACCACTGGGGACCTGTTCCAATCAGAAAGCATGGCTGTTAATTTCATGATAGAAAAGCTAAATTTCTGTTAGACTTGGGTTTTTTTGGTTTCTGTTTTGGGGGTTTTTTTAGCTGATAGCTACAAACGTGAGATGGAATGAAAAAACAGCTCTCTTTAAACACCTCTTTTTGGTCTTATCTATACAAGGAGAATACAAAAGAGTTGGGAGGAGCACAAAATACATACTTTAGAACATAAATTTCTCCTCCCATTTCAGTTTTGGAAGGGCTAATCTCAATGCTGAACGCTCCATCAGCACATCTTGTGTGTGCAACACTGGGAAATATAAAGAGGATAGTTTTTATTACTTTATTTGCCAAAAATTGGTACTAAATGTACCAGTCTTGCCTCTCCTTCTAAAAATATGCCTGTACTAGAGTCTGGTCCAGGACTTTGTGTTTCCCATTTAGGAATGTAAAACCTAACTAGGGATGTGCAGCTTCCTAGTTCTCAACCACAGATTAACCAGGGAAATAGGGACACAGGAAGTAGAAGCACATGGGTGAAGCTGATTACTTCCTTGATACCCTCAACTTGAGGATGTTTCCTAGAAGTAGATTTTTAAATGGTCTAGTTTTAAGGTCATTCCAAAATGCACAATAGCAGTTGGCCATTGTTATTTGATTTCCTTTGGTGATTTTGAACAGAAGCCTGTCAGGTTGGTCAAACAGCTATGGGTCTCCAGCTGCATTTGCTTCCCTTGGTGTCAGAGTGAGCAGGCATATGCCACCAACACCCTGCAGAAGGGATTGTGGCTGTTCAAGCTGTTAACTTGGCTAGCTCTTTAGTTCCTCTGTGCAGAAGGCTGTGCTTCTACAGCTGTGCTGCTGAATGGACAACACAAACACGCCTCCTTTGCACAACGAGGACAAGTAGCTTTGCTTAACCCATACACACTCTTTGGTTTGCTGTTGAAGGTTTCTAGGGCTGACCTAGCACATTTCTGAGCTGATCTGAAGCATTGTGGTGAGAGCTTCCATTGCCCATGGTGGTGATGATATTTGGAGGAAGAAAAGATTGTCAGAGACACATGAGGAACCTGCTGCAGTATCACTACCCCCAGCCATTTCTACCACATTTGACTTTATTTCCTTTGACACACCTGAGGACAATTGAAAGCCTGAAGGAGATTTGCTTTGTCTTTTCAATTCAAAGCCTATATGAAATTGGTCAGATTTTTTTAGATGTGTCTTACAATTCTTAGTGAACTTGTGTTTAAGGTACAAATAGTCCCATACCGCTAAATGGAAAAAATTGTTCACAGTGACTGTGATCAAACGTGGAAACATTTGCCCCAAGAAGCTGTGGGATCTCCTTCCCTAGAGATAGGTCTCGTCTAGGGATGACTTTGAACAGTCTTATAGGACTTTAAAGTTGACCCTGTTCTGAGCAGGAACCTGGATCTGGAGATGAGTACTGGGGGTTGTTTCTGCCTAACTTATTTCAGGATGATGAGGAGAGCTTGTTCACTCCACCAGCTGCCAGCTGGAGGGAAAGGGAGCTGTACACGGTGTGCACTGTGCAGTGACACTCAGCACACTCTCATTTCAAAAGCACTTGGTCTGACTTTTGTAGGCAAGAACAGGCATTAGATGAACCCATGAACCAGGGCTAATAGCAGGAGGTGAGACATCCATCAAGTAAGTTGCAAACATTTTTTTCAAGGTACCACAACAATCCATGGCTATTAAAGATAACAAAGGGAAGATAGAGAAGGAGCAGCTGTCTGACTTGTCAGGGAAGATATGATTTGCTCCAGGACAGCAGATATCAATAGTTATTTGGGAGCCTGAAATGCAATGTATTTGTGTTAAATTGGAATCTTCCTCCCAGCTCCCCCCTTCATATTACAGTATGTTTCAATAAAAGTCAATTTACTTGATCCTGTGGCAATGCTCTTTTAGGTATGGCTCATAATCTTCACAAGGGCAAACAGAGGTTGTGCATTTAAGCACGTCATCCCACATTTCCAGTCCTTTAGCCTCAGTACACCATTATGTTAAAACATACTCAAAGATTTAGACAGATGGAAGTGTGCCTTTGCTGCTGCTCATCTGCAATGACCTTGTTATTACATCAGCGTGTCTCTGGTTTCCAGGCCATGCTTGGAAAGCTAAGTGTATTCTTCTGGAAGGATCTGGAATTAGTTGTTCCTTCCCTGCTCTTACTGTGGGTGGGGGGCCACTAGCATGTCAAGTATAAATGCTAAATGGAGTGGGGGACAAAGTCCAAACACATTTCTCTGTTGGTTTGAGTGAGATCAACAAAGCTTTCAGTCGTAACTGTCAACGGATTTTAGCAAGGCTGTTCCCAAGTGTTAGCTGTCCAGGGTCCTGCAGAAACCAGCATTGCTTTCTGGGGGGAAGTGACCCCACAATGAGTCTGCTCTCCTAGCTTGATGAGGCTCATTTCAGACAGGAAATCTCCCACATTCCTAGGCTTCCTGCTCACCACTTGGTATCAGCCGCACAAAGGGACCCTGGCCCCACCTGTCACCACTTATTTGCCTTCCTCTTATGACTATTTTCCACAGGGATCGTCCAAAAATCTCACTAGAACAGCTCTGGATTTCTGTTTGGCAGTGTGGGAAGCTATTCCAATCCAGCCTGCCTATGGCAGACACACATTCCTCTCATTCCTATAGGAGGAAAGCTGTCTTTTCTTTAAACAGTGAAAAGAAGCCAAACCGAGGGACTAATTATCACTTGCCTGTCAGAATGAGGGGTTGATGGCTCTCTTGGATATCCAGAGCCAGGGCTGTCTGACAGAGTAGCTTCATCTGGCATCAGCAGGAGTTCAGGAGTGCATGTGGAGAGCCCTGCTCCCAGACAGGGTAAACACATACACACACTCACTCAAGGCAGAGGCACAGCTGCAGCTGTGGGCAGCACTTGAAGGCCTCTCTGCACTCCCACACCTGGCAGAGCTCCCCTTGTTTCCAATCTAAAGCTGAAGGGTTTCTCTTTTGCAGGACTGTTTTGGGGGGATTTTAGCAGTGTTTGATTCCTGGTCTTTTCTTATTAACCTTTTCCATTGCTGCCTCCTGCAGAGATTAAGGGCAATCCAAGAGCACAGGTGATGGAAGTTTATCTTGTAACTCCTGTTGCATCTAAGATCAAGCATACATTAATATTTACTTTCTGACATTGTGAAGGTGCATCAGAGCTCAGCCACAGAAGGTCACAGTCTCTGTATAATCCTTGTGGTTAGCAGAGCTGTTCAGCTCCCTTATGCAGGGTTTATGGGTTTGGATATGTATTTCACACTTGGAACAAAGTTATAAAAAGAACATTTCACCTCGCTTATATCCCAGACTGACTTTGACTTGGAAAAGCAGCTACAGACTGTCCAGAAAATAAAGAGCGGCCATGATGGTTCAAACCACAGATCTATTTAGCCAATATTACATCCTCTAAAGTTTAGTCAATATTGTGGTTCCTCCACATCTATTACATTTCTAGCATTTATGTAAAACAGCTTTGGTTCCTCTCTTTGCAGCATCATTGGACAGCTGTTGAAATGCCTTCCTAGTTTTCCATCTATATTTGATTACTTCTACTCTGCTAGCTTATCCTTCCCTGGAAGGCTGTTTGCCTCAGACCCCAATATGGTCACTCCCCAACTGCAGGCACAGGTTGGCACCTGAAAACTTTGTCCATTGCTCAGCTGAAAAGTCATTCATAAACTCCTTGAATTTAAGTAACATCAACTTCATTCTTCTTCACTGAGCAAGCTGATTTACCTGAGGATGTCCCTGACTGTGCCAGGGGGGCTGATGATGACCTCTGATTATGCATTTCAACTGTTCTACAGTTCTGTGAGTTATTCTGTTATGATTCAGGCAAAGTTATGTCTATGTGTACAGGCTTCCATTAGTCTGGAAGTGTAAGCAATTATGACAGGTCTTAAGTCTTTGACCATATTCCATCTTCTCTATCAGGAATTTGTTCCAACTTTGTGTTTAAAACCTCCATACGCTTATTTTAAACAAACACTTAAAATATTTTAGTTCTATGATGTTTAAGGCATTGTAATTTTTCCAAACAGAATGGTATTTGCTTGGAAAGCAACTCGATGTTTACTTTTATTAACCTCTTTTAAAACATGGATATGAGGAAAAATATTTGTGTGGGTTATTTGTTGTAGCTGTCCATATTTAAAAGAGAAATTAAAATACAAGGAAACTGACAGGACACATAAAAACTGATGGCCACCTTTAATTTTCCCATAGCCGGCTATGGAATTACCTATTAATACTGGCTATAAAAAGGAGATGCAGTGCTGTCAAACAACCATACAAATACCAGCTACAATGACAGCCTCAGTGCCATGCCCAGCTGCCAATACCACTGTGGAAAAGTGCACAGAAAACCAAGTTCCACTGGTCCTGCTGTTTTGGTTTGGTTTTTTCACTGCCTCTACACTAGAATCCCAGTAAATGAATCAGCTAATCAGACTATCCTAGGAAGCAAGGACAGTAAGAAAAGCCTCTGTGCAGCTTTAACAGTGTCCAGAGGTACTCTATCCACAGGACTCCAACTGACCTTAATGTGTGCTTCACTACTTAAATATCACAAGATGTTTTGAAAATTTAACAGCTAAGAAATCTAAGTACTTGGTACTTTCCAATAGTTATGAAATTGAAGAAATTTACCTAATTTTTTATAGTTTCATAAAGAATCTTCTGCAGAAAAATTAGTGCACTGTCTGTAAATTGCACCATCAAATGCCCATTTGTCACAAAGTATTTATGGAGTTATGTGAGCCTATATGAGAACAAAGGTGCAACATGATGAAGACTTCCCTTGCTGGGGAATTTGGTGTGTTCCTTAAAATGCAGACCTGCAAAAACTATTCTACTGGGGAGAGAGGAGTCTAAGAAATGCAAAACACAACTGACAGACACAATTTGGAGATAATTAGCAGATTGACTTTCCATCATCAGCTAATTTTATTACCAGTTAAATTGTT